AAAAAAAAAAGGAGAGAACAACTATTGATTCTAATATGGACCTGGTGACCCAAAAGAGCAAGAAATGCAAAATAATAATGCAAACGCATGGAACAGAGCAAATTGAACAAGAATGAAATGGCTGGTTAAAATAACACTTTATTTTTCCATATATCCCACAATTTAAAGCACTGAGGAAATTCAATAACGACGTTTTATAATATTAATGCTCACTAATGAACCAACCAAAAAGCTTAGAACATTTACTCATTCTTTAGAATAGAATTGTGACCATAACGTTACCATTTTTGCAGCATTATGTTATCTTTGATATCTCCTAATTTGGAAAAGCCTCACCATTTAAGTAGCTAATTCCCATATATTTTTTACTAATGAAGATATATCGTGATAAAAAAAAAAATTAAACAAAAAGGGACTTTGCAGAGTATCATTCCAAGTGCAGTTCTAATTGATATTCAATAAAGACATACCGAATCCAAAGTCTCAAAACCCTTCTTGGAGCAAGCCACAACCAACGGATATAAGGAGGTAAATGGAGAGAACATATCTTCTTCTACATCTTTTACAGAATTTCCATAAGAAGACTCAAATTCATGCAAAGTACTAAAAGCCTTTTGCAAATTCCCCAATGATGCATGGGCATATATTTTTCCCAGATAAGATTCTGGTTTAGGGGCCTTCTTTTCACGCAAAGAACGCTTCAGAATTGCCCATGATGCATCTAAGAGAGTTGAATTATAGGTTCTTCCTGCAGTTGAAAGTGCAGACACTACCAACCCTTCATCTACAGAAAGCAACACAGGGGGCCTTGTAGTTTCCCCCCGAGCAATCCATTTAGCCATAAATTCCAAAGCATAAAATGCCAACTTGCTGTTATCTGCTTGGATTGCAGCTTCGGCAATAGTGTTGCACAAGTTCCAGGCTGGACAGAGAGCTTTATTCTGAGCGGTTGTCTGATAAAACCCATCCGATAAAGTAATGAGAACAAACACTGAACAAAAAGAAACCTCCTTACAGAAAATAATTTAGTGTCACTGAGATTGATCATGCCATGTACTTACCTTGCACTTTTCAATGATGGACACCAAAGTGTCCAGCTTGCCCTTGTAAACACAGCTTCTCAGACATTCAGAAAATATGCCCAAAGATAATGTATAACTAGATTTTAAAGCCATATCTATATACTTTAAGGCATCATCAATCTGGTCTGTCGAAAACAGCATACCGATAACTAAATCGTATGACTCATCATCAGGCAAGGATTCCTTTCCTGTCTGCAGCATCCTGACAACAACAAAGTGAAAGATTCATCAGTTGGCAAAAAAAAAAAAGAAAGAAAAGAAAAGAAAAGAAAAAGAAAAAGAAAGAATGAAAAGAAGAGAAGTATTATTCATCAGAAGTCAAATTATATCTGGGGATTCATGCTTATGCATGCAATCCAAAATTCAAATCCCAAAGTAAGATAACCTAGAGCTGTTACTGGTTTACATGATAATTAAACAAAAGGCCAAATCATACAATAAAATCCTATCTTTCATTAAAAGCCCTGTCCAAATGGTTGCATAAGTTAGATCAAAAAACCAAGATATAGGTAAAAACTTAAAGAGTGGGCTATAACATCATGGATCTAAATCCTAGCATAAAATTCCCTCACATGACAGATATTTTTTACTATGATTCTGAAGCCTTCCAAAATTCATGCTTCTCACTTTTTACAACTTCACAGCATGCTCATGTTGCGAGTAGAAAGCCAGGAAAATTTTTGATCTAGCAGCCACTCAATAAATTCTTATAACTTTATTTTTTAAACCAAAATTTAAAAATCTGGTATTTCCAAATGCACAACAACAGCAGCAGTCTTTAAGAAATGAATTTAGCAAAGATAACTAAGACAAAAGGCAAGGGGAGAAAAAAGTAAAGAAAGTGGGATTAAGAGAAAAAACTAATGTAAGAAAAAATGATAAGGACATTTTTGTAAAAATTATAAAAAAAATGTTCAGAAGCTGCCTTGAATCCCTTCTTTCCATAAGACCAACCAAATAGATGCTAGTCACTAACACCTCTTCCAAACAAGGTCTTAATGTGGATTATTTACAACATATGGTTGTTTATACACCTGGAGTTCTACATTAAATTCCCCCTGCACCCCCCCCCCACCCCCAAATATTACTTTGCAACTACAATGACTCATATTATTTCTTACAGTTAATGCAATCCCTATTAAAAATAACCCAAACAGGCCTAAAAATTATATATTATTTTAGTTGTATTAAGACCTAAAACTTAAAACTATTTAGCCTAATATTCTCAACACTGATCCCACCATCACAAGAGCCTTTAGACAGGTATCTTTCATATATGTTCTTAAATAAATAAATAAATAATAAAACAGAAATCTATTTCTCTGTGAATTTGTTAGAACTCACACTTCTTGATGATTATGTTGAAGCACCATTAACATGATTTTTAAGTATTATATATGGTGCAACAATTAAAATAAAATAAAAACTTGGTTTAAACATACACAAGAGCTCGAATTCAAGCATTGGAACTGACCTCTTTTGCACAAAACCAAGGGGTAGAATATTTTCCAATTCACCTTTTATGTACTCAAGGTTCTTTTAAAGTTTAAGGCCATAATCTTCTGGAGATAAGCAATAGTATATACTAACTTTGTCAAGAAATAGACATATAAAGTCCTATGTAAAAAATGCATTTTCAAAAGTAAATTTAAAGAAGCCAGAGATCCTACTTGTTTAATTGTCAAAAAATTGGCCGACATTCAGGCTTAAGCCCTCAACAAAGACAGTCACAAGCCACTAAGTCACTAATTGAGCTCAAATAAGTTAGAGCTTGTTTGTTTGTGGGAAATGGAAGGAGGGGAGGGATGAATTTTTTCTCCAATTAAATTAAAATGTTAGCCAAGATTTTAATTTGATTGGATGAAAAATTGATCACTCCCCTCCCCTTCATTTCCCTCAAACCAAACATGATCTTAAGGTTGACAATGAATGATTTTTATTACTTAAAACTTAAAACCCATTCACCATAGCAATTTCAATAACAAAGCAGATACAGAAAGTGGTAGATGGGTAAAACCTCGATCCTGATTGTACATAAATTGATCAACTAGGATTTCACCGTATGTGCAAAGGATTCAAATCAAACAAAAAAAAAAAAAATAGAAACTTGAGGTAAATAACATAAGAAATGGGAAATTTTTTTCCTTTCCCGTTTCTGTGAACCCATCACTCTTTTGCAACATTTCTGAAACTTTCAAGCACTTGTTTGCTAGTCAAACTACGCAGCCAGGTTGAAGAGCAAAAAACACTAACCGTTCTAACAATGCTTTGGCAGCCTGAGTTTCCCTGGCCTGAAACATAGCCTTCAAAACTAAATTGTAAGACGCAGTATTGGGGGGAATGCCAAAATTGTCCAGCGTCTCAATCAAAGTAAGCATATCGACAGCATTTGCTCCCAGCATTAGATTAGCCCGTAAATAATGATTATAGAGATCAACATTTGGTACATTAGGCTTCCCATTCCTATCAAGCGATTCAATCCAAAACTCAAACATCTGCTTGATATCGGCCCATCTCTTCTGAGGAATCAAATCGGCAATCTGGTTCATGAGTGTTGGGGCATCTAAGGTTTGGGAAAGGGATTGAACACGGCGTAGGGTCTGCCCAGCATGGCCTAGAGGAACTAGAGACTGGGTGGGCGAGGAAGGATTAGGAATGGTGTTCCTAAAATTCTCTCGGAAGGCTGGGCTGCCATAGGCGGGGTTTGGAGGCAAAGGAGCGGAGTGGGGAGACTCGGCGAGCTGGGGCCCTTGAAAGAGGAAAGGGAAAGTGGAAATGGATTTTGTATGGTTTCTGAGGAGGGTTCTGGTTCGAGCTAAGATCGCCAATTGAGAGGACATAGTTGAGTTCCTCGTATAACAGAACATGAGTCTAGTGAAGCAGAGCACCTGGTTAGGGTTTTAGCTTCGAAGTTCAATTTTTTACAAGGAGAGAATGGTAATTTAGGAAATAACAAACAAATGCTAAAAGTGTTGGGTTGGGTTGGGTCTATATGGATACTAGTCCTGCATGTGGAATGGAATCGTTAATGGGCTGAGTCCAACTCTTACCAAGAGGAAGTTCACATCCTAAGGCCACGCCGCGGCTGAATTGATAGTTTTAGAGAAAGGCTTAATTCAAAAGATTGGTCTTTTAACTATCAATTTAATTTCATTTTAGTCTATAAAGTTAATTGTTTTTCTAGTTAGTTCGTACACATACACCCAATGTTTTAAAAACC